TCCTCAAAGCAGCACTTGTGCAATGAGCTGCTCAGGGCAGGAGTTGCTCAAAATTGCTTCTGTAGAACACTCAAAAACCAAAAAAAAAAAAACCAAAAAAAAAAAAAAAAAAAGAAGGCAGTGCAAGTGATATTTGGGCCAATTGATTACATATTCAGGTTTTGGGGGTTTTTTTTGCATACTTTTACAATTTATAGTTATCTGCAAAGAAACTCACCTGAGAAAACCTCACTTGGAGCACACTGTCCCCACTCCTGAGACTCCAGTGCCAGGATCCCGTTGGTTTCTCTAATGACTGTGAGCATAATAAAATCCCTGTGAGCATGTAAAATCCCTGTCAGCAGCTGATTTCAGGGGAAATAAAAGAGATAAAAACAGAACAACACCTCTGTTTGCTTTGTGGAGTGGGAAAAGCTGCATGAGGATGCTGGCAGCATCACTGACCTCACCCAGGACTCCTCACACACCTCAGAGAAGGGCTTAAAATGGCAAAACCCATGGAAAATGGGGAATAAAGCACAGCTTGCTCTTCCAGGTTGGCAGAGGGCACCCTGGAATTCCAGGGGGGATATTAAATTTGGATATTATTCAATCTCTGCCTTAGGCTGCAACAGAATTGCAAATACTGGGAGGTTTATGTGTGTGATTAAAAAGTGCAAATATTTCTCAGTTAAGTTTATCACCAAAACTGAATCTGCAGAGGGGGGAAAGTCTCCATCATTTGATTCTTTCATGTGGCAATTCCAGACAGTTCCAGCTTAATTTAGATCATGTGGAAGTTCTGGACCTTCTATGAACTTCTTATGTAACGCTCTCTCTGTGTCACATTATCAGTCACATCAAAGTCCAGTGACACCAATTCATGATTAATAACCCATTTCTGGACAAGACAAACCGGTGACATTGGTTAAATTTCCAAAGAGCAATTTGGGATTTACCTGTTGAGGTCGACGTGAGTCACGCCACGAGTTCTGACCAGGTTTCCATATTTGAAATATCCAACGTCACGCCTCGCCAGCAGGAAAAAATCTTGAAAAAAAGCACAAAGCAGAGCACTTGGTGCTTCATCAGGAACTGTTAGTCATCAGCACTGGGCTGCTGAGAGAGCAGTGCCATCCCTTCAAACACGGGGTGAAGGAAAGGCCACCAAGTCCCTACTTCCCCCATGAGCGTCACTGGCAGCAGACATCCAGATCTGGAGGGATGAGAAATGGGGAATTTCTGAAAAGGAGAGAAACAACAACACCACTGTGACAGCCTGGAAATGGAGGGGATACTCCAAGTTACGTCTAGAATAGATTGTGCAGAAAATCACAGAATCACAAATCACTGAGGCTGGAAAAGGCCTCTGAGATCATCAGTCCAACCTGTGACTGACCCCTGCCTTGTCACCAGACCAGAGCACTGAATGCCACGTCCAGGCATTCCTTGGACACCTCCAGAGATGGTGAAACCCCTGCAGGGATGGTGAAACCCCTCCAGGGATGGTGCTACACAATGTCCCTCTGTCCAAGAGCAGTGCGGAGACCAAGAAGGCAAATAAAAGTAAAAATTTGTCACATCAAACTATGCCAAGATAAGAAAAGGCCCTTCAATCATCAGGGTGAGGTGCCACCCTGCTCCAGTGATGGATCCTGAGGATGTCTGACCCCAAACCCTGCCCAGACCATGTCCAGGACCAGCCTTTCCTCACGCTACATTGTAGGAGAATGCGTTTGCCCACGAACCTCTGTTTCAGTGCAGAAGCAGCATTTGCTGCCCTGCTCTTTCTGATGAACTCGCCGCTGTCAGAAGCTTGTGGGAGGTGGGGTAGAATCGCAGAATCACAGAATAATGAGGTTGGAAGAGACCTCTAAGATCATCAAGTCCAACCTATGCCCTAGCACCTCAACTAGACTATGGCACCAAGTGCCATGTCCAGCCTTTTTTTAAACATATCCAGAGATGCTGATTCCACCATCTCCCTGGGAAGAGCCTTCCAGTCCTTTATTATTCTTTCTGTGAAAAATTTTTTCCTAATATCCATCCTCTACCTTCTCTGAAGTAGCTTGAGACTGTATCCTCTGGTTCTGTCAGTGCTGCCCTGTGGAAGAGACCGACCCCACCTGTCTACAACTTCCCTTCAGGAAGTTGTAGAGAGCAGTAAGGTCACCTCTAAGCCTCCTCTTCTCCAGGCTAAACAACCCCCTTTCCTTCAAACGTTCCTCATAGGGCTTGTGTTCCAAGAAGCACACAAATGGCTTTTGAGGAACACACGTTCTCCTTCCTGAAGCGATCTTCTTGGCAAAGACTAAAGCTGTTTCCTAAAGGTTCAGCACTACACCCACGGCCCCCGGACACTCTTTAGGAAAAGGTGTTTTCTTCATTCATGAAGCTCTCTGTAGTAGTGCAGCCACCGCCTTTCCACAGCCTCAGCAGGGCTGAGTCACAGCGAAACTGCACCGTCAAGATCTCTGACGAGGCAGAGGAAACGCAGGTAAACACAGCAGAGAATCGCCCTGCGCACGCCAGAGTTTCCTCTGCGGAACGGGCACGGCTGCCTGACGCTGCTGCCAGCCCCAAAACACAGCCCAGGCTTCCACAGCGGGCTGGAGGGAATTGCACAAGAGCCAGAGCGCGCTCGGGATGTCACATGTGACTTCATGGAGAGCCAGGGTGGCTCAAAACAAGAGAAGTTTGGAAATGAATGCTCAGCTGATGGGCAGCGTGGAGGGAGGCTCCCAACACTGTGGGGCTGCTCCATCTCCTGTGGCTGCCTAGGCTGGATGTCAGGAAAATGTTTTTTATTGGAAGGGTGATAAAGATCTGGAATGGCTGCCCAGGGAGGTGGTGCAGTCGCCATCCCTGGAGGTGTTTAAAACACTGGATGTGGCACTGGGTGCCAGGGTTGAGTTGAGGTGTTGGGCTGGGCTGGACTCAATGATCTCCAAGGTCTCTTCCAACCTGGTCATTCTCCTCTTCTCTTCTCTTCTCTTCTCTTCTCTTCTCTTCTCTTCTCTTCTCTCTTCTCAAAAGCCCCTCTGCCATGTACCCCATAAAAACACCAGCTCCTAAACCCACAGCTGAGGCTGAGCAGCGCTTCCACTGCAGGGGAGAGCCTGGGGCTGCATCCTTCCCCAGAGTGAGTGGGATTAGCTCCAGGATCTGAGGATCCAGGAGCACATAAACCAACCTTACACATCAGCTTCCACGCCCTGATGAAGCCTCAGCAGCCATCCAGGTCTTGGCACTGAAGATTTATTGAGCCCTGGCAGGTTCAAGTTAATGCAAAGAGAAAAACATGTATGAGATCCCAGGGAAAGGTGGGATCCTTCCTGTGGGAATTGAGTTTAAGACTAATTTTGTCCGAGCTTTCAGCCCTTCTCCTCTCGGATGGATTCTGCTGACAGTCAAGAGGAAAAACCCCACAGCCGATTTAGAGCAGGGGAACAAAAATGGGTCACCAAAAACATGACCCAAATCATGGCCATGACTCAGCTGCACTGATGTCCCTGCAATGATCCCCCGGGAGCAGCTTCCCCATCACCTCTGGAAGAGGCAACACCAACAGAAAACAGGAAAACAAATCACAAAATCCCACACTTTCCCTGCCTCAGGCTCTCCAGTTGCTGATGCTTCATCCCCTTTGCTCTTACACGTGTGCATGCCAACCATTCCTCTCTCCTGCTGCTAAAAATAAAGTGGAAAAACTCTCAGTATGCAGGAACAAACAATACTTTGCATTTTTCCAGCAATAAATTCCCTCTTAGAAGTTCACAAATTCAACTTCAAAGAAGATCAGTGTGATGAAGAAGATGAGAATTTAAGGGATTTGTTCCCTAATGGAGGAAGGCTTCCCTACTGGGAAGAATGAGTTATTTTAAAATAACGAGGGATTTCAAAGAAAATCCCCTGATTTCAGAAAAGCCAAATTTATCTCCGCTCTCACTTTCTTGCATGCCAAATTCCTGAATAAATAAGTGAAATCTTTATCCCAAGGAAGCAGGGGGTGTGGGCTAAAATAGATATAGAAAGAGAGGAGAAAAGAGAGGGAAACGGAAAATGGGGAGACGTCACAGGAATTCTCTGTGGCTCCAAAGGGACAATTTTATCACAGCTGGGACAGTAAGTCCTAGCTAAGATAGGACATGCTGCTGCTTGGATGGGGCTGCTGTCCATTTCTAGGAAACAAAATCAGATTTAAAAGCCTGGAAAATGGATTTTTATGACCTGCTCAGGCACTTTAACATCAGGCATCAAAGTAGTGGCACAAATCCTGATTCTGCCCTGGAGGATCCACGAGGGACCAGAGCAGGGCTGGGATCCTCCCCTGGGATCCACTTGGCATCCAGCTGATATTTGGGAGCACAAACTGAGGTTGCTGAGCAGTGAAAATTCACATTGGCTTCAGCTGACATGTGCATTAACTGGAAAAAAAAACACCCCAAATTAATTAAAAATTATGATTTCAGGTGATGATGTGTGTTTGCAGATTAGAAAGCCAAAGGAAGAGACAGAGAATTTGTACAGTTCATGAAAAGCAATTCTGCTGAGTGATGCTCTCTGCAGGTTTGATACTGAGATTTAAAAGTAGCAACACTTTTTTTTTTTCCCCTAACAATATAACATTGATCTAAAAATAAAAAATGGAACTGTGAGAATAAATGAGCATCACACAGAACTTTGGCTTCTTTGTGTGTCTCTGCAGCTTTCCTCCTCAGCCACAGCTAAATTTACAAGAAACAAGCAATGTAAAAAAAAAAAATGCAGAGTCTAAGCACAAAAAAATTGATGGGGTGTGAGGAGAGGACAGGAAACCCAAGTTGACGGGAAACCCAAGTGACATTTGGGCTTAATACTGACTTAAAACCCCAATATTGCTCGTCAGGAAATGGGGAGAGGAAATGGAGTGATGTATAAATTAGGGGCTCCATCAAGGTGAAAGCTGCAGATCTGCTTTGTAGCCTCCTGGGGGATCCAGCCCAGAGGTGCAGCAGAGGGGAGCAGCCCTGCCCCACAGCATGAGGACCTGCTGCAGGGGCACAGCCGTGCCCACCCTGCTGCTGCTGCTGCTGCTGGGCACCGCGCCCGCCCGCGCCCAGCCCTCCTGCCTCCGCTTCCCCGAGCTCCTGCCCGCCAGGCTCAAAGAGCTCCGGCTCAAGTTTGAGGAAATTAAGGATTATTTTGTAAGTATCGTTATTTTCTCTTCTGGTTTTTACCTTTCTTCTGCAAAGTTCTGGGATCTGGAGGAGGGGGAAGAGTTTCCTCCCAGCAGAAATGATTTGGCTGAGTTGCGTTAAGAGCAGCTCGGTTTTGTTGCTCACTGAGAGAAAATCTTTTTCAGGCTTTTCTTCCTACTTTTTTCATTAACAATGAACTCGAGGTTTCACAATGAACCTCTGCAAACCTTTCTAACCAAGCTTCCCCCGAAATATTGCAAACCAAGTTAATCGCTGAATTATTAGGAAGGAAATCATTTTTTCTTCAGGGCAACCAGGTCCAGCCTTGCAGAAGTCAGTGCCAGGTGAAAAGGGAAATCTTTCGCTGCAGATTTTTTTTCTTTGAAAGAGCAACAAAACCTGCACAGGGTGTTTTATGAGGGGTGGAGCACAACACCTGCACTGGTGCCTGTGCAAGGTCCCTGCCCTGCATCTCAGGAGCCTCAGGGCTGCTGAGCAAACAGCTCCCAACGCCTTCAGAGCATCTGCCGTGGCTGATGGAGGTGCTTGGTCACAGCCCTGTTGCTGTTTTAGTCCATGTCAATGTGTTTTAGCAATAAAATGAGATAATTCTCCAGATAAATCTCAAGCTCGTGTCATGGCTTGTGTTATCAAATGAGCACAGCCAAGATTTTAGATGTTCAGCTGCCTGTGAATCCCCCAGATAATGCTGGGAAGGAATATTTTGAACCTCTCAAGACAGCTTTTGAGGCTTTAATTCTTTGAATGGTGCCAGCTCACCCCACTGCAGCTGGAGCCACGACAACAAACTCCCATTTCCCCCTCAACAGGGGCAGCCACACCAGGGGGATGGAGCCCTGCTGCCCTGGCAGAGAGGCTGGGGGGCTGCCAGGGGCTGCCAGGGCTCTGCCACCCCTCTGGAGAGCTTTGCAGTCTGCAGCAGCACCCTCAGACAGCACCACCCCTGCAGCTCAGCCCGAGGAGTTTCACTAGGACAAACCCAGTGGCACCAAAGGCTGTGATTTAATTTTCTTGCTGGCCTGATCCAGCAGTCCTTGTGCTGCCAGGTTGTGGAGCAGTGACCCCTCTGCCTGGTGCCCCCGTGCTCTGTCCACACCTGCACTGGGTGCCCTTTGCCTCTGCTGCAGGGACACCCTAAATGCAAACAAGAGAAGGATCATTTGTTAGGAAATGGAAAGAGTGAAAAGCTCATTTTTCAATTCCATCCTCCCCCAGCAATCACAAGATGACGACCTGAGCATCCAGCTGCTCAGCTCCGACCTGCTGGAGGAAATCAAGGTAAGAATCTCATTCCCTTGTGGGTTCCTCCTCCTTCCCCATCCTGGGGCAGGCGTTTCATTAGAAGGAAAGCCAGCTGGAAAGGGGGACATATGCTGCTGCCACACCAGGCTGGCCCTGCCACGCTGCAGGGCCACATGTGGCTGTGGCAGGGCTGGCACGAGGTTGCCCCATGGCCAGCGTGGCTCCCACACCCTGCTCTGGTTTGGACAAACCCACCCCTGGTGCTGGTGGCCGTCCCCAAGCAGGTGCCCCTCGTGTCCCCAGGGGAGCCTCGGCTGCCAGTCGGTGTCGGAGATGATGGGGTTCTACGTGGACGAGGTGCTGCCCAGCGCCATGAGGAGCAGCACCCAGCACCAGCACAGCATGGGCGACCTGGGCAACCTCCTGCTCAGCCTGAGAGCCATGATGAGGCGCTGTGTGAGTGGGGCTCAGCAGCACGGGGACACTGCTGGGAGCAGGGCAGCTCCGGGCGTGGCGTGGGGTGGAGGAGCAGGGGTCCAGGCAGGCAGGGTTTGTGGGGTCCAGGATGGGGTTTGTGGGGTCCAGGATGGGGTTTGTGGGATCCAGGTGTCCAGGCAGGCAGGATCTGTGGGTCCAGAATGGGATTTGTGGGATCCAGGAGTCCAGGCAGGCAGGGTTTGTGGGATCCAGGATGGGGTTTGTGGGGTCCAGGATGGAGTTTGTGGGATCCAGGGGTCCAGGATGGGATTTGTGGGATCCAGGGGTCCAGGCAGGCAGAGTTTGTGGGATCCAGGGGTCCAGGATGGGATTTGTGGGATCCAGGGGTCCAGGCAGGCAGAGTTTGTGGGATCCAGGGGTCCAGGCAGGGAGAGTTTGTGGGATCCAGGGGTCCAGGCAGGCAGGGTTTGTGGGGTCCAGGATGGAGTTTGTGGGGTCCAGGAGTCCAGGATGGGGTTTGTGGGGTCCAGGATGGGGTTTGTGGGATCCAGGATGGGGTTTGTGGGGTCCAGGGGTCCAGGATGGGGTTTGTGGGATCCAGGTGTCCAGGCAGGCAGGATCTGTGGGTCCAGAATGGGATTTGTGGGATCCAGGAGTCCAGGCAGGCAGGATTTGTGGGGTCCAGGATGGGATTTGTGGGATCCAGCAGTCCAGGATGGGATTTGTGGGATCCAGGGGTCCAGGCAGGCAGGGTTTGTGGGGTCCAGGATGGAGTTTGTGGGGTCCAGGAGTCCAGGATGGGGTTTGTGGGGTCCAGGGGTCCAGGATGGGGTTTGTGGGATCCAGGATGGGGTTTGTGCTCACAGCAGTTCAGGGATGATGGTGTAGCCAGCCCTGCACCAGCCTGGCAGCAGACGCAAAGGGAGGGCAGGAGGGGATCTGTCCCTTACCTGGACGCTGGAGCTGCTGAAATCACTCCTGGTGTGGCCATGAGCCCAGCATGGGGGCAGGTGGGACAAACCCTGTCCCACACAGGGAGCTGCTGTCCCCAGGGACTGGCAGCAGGGACACAGGGCTGGGGACAGGCTGGGAGCCCGGGCTGGGTCACTCCAGGCTCCTTCCAGCTGGAATTGCTGCCTGCGGGCACACAGGGCAGGGAAGGTGGGGAGCAGCAGTGACAAGGGACAGGAGGAGGGGACAGCCACCAGTGAGCCCTGGGGAGGGACTCCTGGGGCTGAGGCCGTGCTGGTGTCCCTTTGCAGCACAGATTCTTCACCTGTGAGGAGAGGAGCAGGAGCATGAAGCACGTCAAGGAGACCTTCAGCAGGGTAAGGAAAGGGGGGAAGCTGCTGCCACGGCAGGGCAGAGGCTGAGAGGGGGAACAGAACCCAAAAAAAGTCTGGAATCACACAAATTCTTGCAGCAGAGAGCAAGAATCTGGTGGGAATTCTGGAGCAAGGGTGGGAATTCTGGAATTCCCAGGGGATTGGGCAGAGAAGCTGGAGGTGTCCATGGAAGGAGAATTTGTCCAGGCATTGGACATCCCATATCTGTGCCAGCCACACTGAACACCCCTGGCTTTCCCTGCAGATGAAGAAGAATGGAATCTACAAGGCCATGGGAGAGTTTGACATCTTCATCAACTACATTGAAAAATATTTAACAATGAAGAGAAGGAGCTGAGAGCGCCCCTGGGTCTGCATTTTCCACACCAAATCCTGTTTAAAAATCACTTCAGGCTGCAAGAGCTCAAATTAAGTTATCTCAAGGTTCAGGTTAAGAGTTACAATAACTTCCAGCTTAATATTGTATTTAAGAGCTATTTTTGTAATAGTTGAATTTATTATTTATTACTTCTAATACCTCAGTGTTGATGTTTACAGTATGTTTTGAAGAAAGGAGTGATGAGCTTGTAAATTACTATTTATTGTTCAATATTTTAATATTGTTTATCATAGTGCTATTTTATTCATAGCTTCAAAACATCCAAAGCAGTGTTTTTCTGGAGGGCAGACAATGAGCTGAGCTTATCCCGAGTGAATTAGGAGCAAGGCCAGCTCCGAGTTCAACAAAATTTCATTTGAGGCAAATGACCCTCTCCTCATATCCTATATCTCTGTTTATTTATGCAATCAGATGGTTTTATGTTTAGGAGGAGAAAAAGCCACAGCAACAGCTTGGCTGACTCCACTTTAGACTTCAGCCTGTAGATTAGTCCAGACTAATTTAAAAAAAAAATTAATAATAGGAATGAAACGTTTGGTTCTAATAGAACTTGGCTTAAATATTGCTCACTATCTGCCTTCCAGAGCTGCTGGAACCCTGCACTTTCCAAAGTTAACCTTACTGTTTTCCAGTCTCTGACTGGGTTTTCCTCACTGTTTTACTGCTGTTCGTTTTCTTTTAGAAGTTAGAAGATAATTAATTAACCACCATTTTAAGGTGGCTAGGGTAATTTGCATTCAAATCCGTGGGCCTGCTCCCAGCACTGCTGGGATTGGATTTTGGATCCCCACCAGCACTGGGAGCAGCTTCAGTGCCCCCAAAAGTGGCTGATTTTAGGGCTCAGCTTCCTCCAGTGGACCCTGAGCCAGAGGAAAATGCCACAACCCCAGGAGAGGCTTTTACTTCTAATATTTAGAAGTTTAAAGGCCCCCAGCTGATGAAACACTGCCAGTTTGGTGTTTGCTGCGCAAGTTCCAGCTGAGGAGAGGTTATTTATATGGGATTTATTCTGTGTGGACATTTCTGGTAGCAGCAGGGGATTGCCTGCATGAAAATTGGATATTCCAGAGCAGGGCAGGAATGCTGCTCCATGGGTCGCTCCTCCTGCTGAAATCTCAGGCTCAAGGGCAGCCAAAGACTGTAAAACTTAAATTAAGCTTCTTACAAAGCACATTAAGCTCCCGTTGAGCCAATTCTGAGCTTGTGTTTCCCTCCAAACACCTTCGATGTTGTGGGAGAAGCAAGGACAGCCCTGGAGCCAAGGACAACATCAGCACGGCTTGTCACTGGGTGAACTGCCACCTATTTATCTGAAATGATATGACAAGAAATCCTTTATGTTTGCTAATAAAGACTCTCTAATGAAGGCAGCCTCTGTCCTGTCCTTGTGGGCTCTTAGCAGGGCTGTCAATCAGCTCCAGCCCGGTGTCACCAGTGTCACCAGTGTCACCAGGCTGGGACAGAGCCCAGCGGGCACAGAGCCAGGTGGGAAGGAACCTCAGGGACACCTTGCTTGTGTTAACACCAGAGAAGTGAGAAAACCCGAGGCCACCACATTTAAAAGCAAATTTCTCACCAAATTCCTGGCATCGATCCCTTAGAGCAGGGAAACACCAGGGGAGGAGCAATCCCATCAATCATGCAATGCTCCAGCAGCATTTTCCAGCGCTGGAGCTCTGTCCACAGAATGCACTGCTTAAAAAAAACAAAACAGGGGAAAAAGCCCAAATGGCAGCTTGGAAAGCTGGGAGATCCAGGGCATCATCACAAGTCATCCAGGTGACCTAATTCCAGCTGGAATCCTGGCACCAGCATCACCCAGCATCCCTCCAGGCTGCACCTGACCTGTGCTGGGTGTGGGCAGCAGCTCTGCAGATCCCTCAGGTCCAGCATCAACTAAGCCCAAAACATCAGTGTTTGGGGAGAAAAAAACCACCACAAACCCAGCTTTTTGCTCCTCCTGCCTCCCCAAAAGCTGCTGTGAGTCCCAGCAGGGCTCCTTAGCCCCGGTGCTGATGCAGTTCCTGCCAATCTCAGTGGCAGTCTGGGTGTTACAGTAAGAGCACGAAGCCGTGGCAGAGATCAAAGGTGGTGGTTTCTGGTTTTGTTATCCCACAGAAGTTGGGTTTCCTTGCTGGGTGTCCTCTCCCTGAGAGCGCTGCCTGCTCAGCAGCCCCAGAACTGAGAGCCTCAATCACCTCCTGACCTCGCTGCTCCTGCTCGCCACTCAGCTCAAATTCTGCATCTCCACCTGGGGCTGCCTCGGAGCTTTCTGCTGCTGCTTCTGCTTTTGCTTTTTCTCTCTTTAGACACTTTCCTTAAAGCCCTACTGTGCTGTACTTGCTTCCAGGGAAGCAATTAACTTTCTTCATCATCTCCCCTTGGCCAACATGAGGAGGGCAAATCCCAGCTGAACACCAGGGTGGAAGTGTGTCCTGAGCACAGCAGGACAGACAGACAGACACCTCCTGTCATGTGCTGGGACTGAGGAACCAAACCTCCCTTGGAGCAGTGAAAAAAATTGTCTCTTGTCACGAGGAAGATGAGCATGACCCTTCAGCCTCCCAGGGTGCCACAAAGCCCAGGGACAAGCCTTGAGGTGAAATGAGGGACCTTAAGCACAAAAGGGGCAAAATTAAAAGAAGTAAACTCTGCTGTAACTCCATTTGAATTGCAAAGCTTTCAGAACTTTCCTCATTTTGTTGTGGTTGTAGTTTTAACGCTTGTTATTTAACTCAAACCGGCGGCACCACTCAGGCCCACGCAGCTCCTGCCTCTCTGTGTCCTAGATTTTGGCAGCACGTGACTGAATTTGGGGCTTTTGCTGTGAAAGAGGCCAGGGGGAGCAACAAAAACAGGGCTGAGAACCCCAGCTAGGCACGTAGGTCATGGAGGGGAGTGGAGGGCACAGCCCTGACTTTGCAGAGCTGCCAATTCCTTCCCTCTGAAGGAATTGCTGAGTAATTACCAGAGCTGGGTGCTAAAAACGGGACCACACTCCCGGTAATAAAGTGATTTCAGCATTTATTATAATAAAAAGAAAGGCCTAAAGCCAGGGGTACTAAAGGTGATTTCAGCATTTATTTTAATAAAAGAAAGGCCTGAAGCCAGGGGTACTAAAGGTGATTTCAGCATTTATTTTAATAAAAGAAAGGCCTGAAGCCAGGGGCCCGGGCCGGGCAGGAGCGCTCCCGTCCAGGATGCTGCAGCGCCGGCGCCGGGGCTGCCTCAGCAGCGATGTCCCCGAAGTCCCAGGGGAATGGCACAGCTTCCCTGGGTCAGATGCCCCTTTTTATCCTGTTTTTTGTCCCTCTGGGTTGGTTTCTGTTTGGATCCTTCATTTGCATGAAGGTTTAGGCGCTCGATGGGCCCATGACAGCTCAGTCCAGGCTGGCTCGTTTCGTTGGTGTGGTGCACTTTGCTATGGTGCCATTTCTTATAACGACCCTTTTAGCCCTTTTTACATGGAAAACCGAACTAACAGCACACGCTTAACAATTATCAACTATTTTACAATAGTTTCTAAGCTATTTTTAGCACTGGGATTGCTAAAGATGCCACAGCCCAGTGATGCTCACCTTCACCCCCGGGGCCAGCAGCCCAGCGCGGGGCTCTGCAGGCACCCAGCTGCTGCTCCAGGGGATGGAGAGGGGAAGCTGGAGCTCAGGAGCACTGGGATGGCACCCAGAGCTCCCCAGGGACTGCACCGCCAGCACCCCAGGGATGGCACCCAGAGCTCCCAGGGACTGCACCCAGAGCTCCTCAAGGACTGCACCCCCAGATCCCCAGGGACTGTACCCAGAGCTCCTCAAGGACTGCACCCCCAGATCCCCAGGGACTGCACCCCCAGATCCCCGGGGACTGCACCCAGAGCTCCCCAGGGAGTGCACCCAGAGCTCCTCAAGGACTGCACCTCCAGATCCCAAGGACTGCACCCCCAGCTCCCCTGTACTAAACCCCCATATTGTAAAAGCAAGGTGCCCCCGAGCAGGAAGAATGATGCCTCTGGCTCCATGATAATTAATTACTTTATTATACTATATTACACCATATTACACTACATCTACACTGAAACTTCACAAGCACTGAACTCCACAAAATCTCGTGACTGTCTCCCGACAGTCCTGACACACACACGTAGATGCAGTTGGTCACCTCAGGTAGACAATCTCCAGAACACGATCCACATGAGCACAACAAGAGGAGCAGCAATTGAGCTGAGAATTGTTTTTAATTTCTCTGAGGTTCCTGGCTGCAATTCCCAGAAAACATCCTTGGGAAGTTGTGCCTTGCTTTTTTCTGTGAAGAGAAATGAGGCCAGACCCTGGGGTTCCCCCACCGGCAGTGGGGGTTCATCCCAGCAGGAGCATCCCAGGGAGGAAGGGATTCAATCCTGCCACATCAACCTGGCAGAAGCCTTGCCCCATCCCTGCTGCTGCCAGAGCCTGCTCAGAGCAGAAAAATAACAGATGAATGGTGGTTATGGGGCAAGCAAGGCCACACAATCCTCCAGGCTGGCTGGCAGACAGGGCAGGGGCTGTGCGGGGCCGGTGGGAGCCGTGTGCAGGTTCCCTGCAGGTTCTCAGCAGGCTCTCACCAAGTTCTCAGCATGTTCCCAGCAGGTTCTCAGCAAGGTGCCAGATTCCCAGCAGGTTCCCAGCAGGTTCTCACCAGGTTCTCAGCACAGGGCTGGGCCGTGCCACAGCTGAGCCCCTGGCAGCCCTGCAGCCCCAGAGCTGAGGGTTTCACAATGACTCAGGGCTGAGAGAAGAGGAGCCCAGGCAGGCTGGTAGAGCAGCACCCCCAGGGGCAGCACCCCCAGGGGCAGGCACTGCTCGCTGTCCCCTCTGTGCTGTCGCTGCATCCCCACACAGCCTGGGGCTCCACAGAGGACTCCCATCCAAACCTGAGCCCCAGGGAGGCTCCTGATCACAGAATGGTTTGGGTTGGAAGGGACT